ACGCATTCTTTTTCTTAATTGTGTATTTGACGGAGTGGGTGCCCTGTACTTTTGTCAGCCATGCCCGTATCACTGAATTCAAATTGTTCAGAGTTCTCTGCCCCTAAAACAATGCTTCAATAAACATTCTTGCCAGATACCTTTATGCCTGGGAACCTTTCTCATAGACTGGATATCTAAAATGGGCATTCCCAAGACAAAGAGCATCTAGTAGGCAAAGAGATTCCAGTAGGCACTGTGAGATGACTTTTCCAAAACACTGGCACAATTTCATCCCCATTAGCAGAAAATAGAAGAACTGTTTTCCCGCATTCTCCCTGACACTGGGTAATAATTTACACCAAAACCATGGATGGAAAATGGTAAATTACCATAGATTTACTGTGCATTGCGTTCAGGTGAGACTGGACATACATACTTTCATCAGTTCATCAGTCCTTTGGCGTTTACTTTTAACCTTCCCTTCACATTCTTGGACCATTTTTAACCTAGGATTTTTATATCATTCTTCAAATTCTGTAAGTTTTCTATATTATGGATACGAACATGAGTCATATGCTATGACTCTGCTTCCCAGTGTATAATTATTTTTACTTTATTGATGGAGATTTTGAAACGCAGATAATTTTGCTTTTTATGTAACCAAATATGTTATCTTGTACACTGAGGCTTTCTTTCTTTTAATTAGGAAGAGTGTATCTGCTGTGAGAGTGTACAAATAATTTCTTCTTTGTTTTAAAATAGGTTAGTTTTTACCTTTTGCATTTCAATTCCCATTTCATCAGGATTGTGTGTGTGTTTCTTTGGCAAAGCATGTAATCTTCTGGTCTCATCGCTTTATCTCCCTTTTCATCCCCAGTACTGTGTGCTTTTTGTTTTCATTTTTATCTTTTCTCTTTTTCCTTGAAATGCCTTACCAGAAATTCAACCTTTTCCCTCATTTTTTTTTTCTGTGTAGCACTTAAAAATAAACTTTAAACTTTATACTGTATCTTGTTCCCCATTTAATTATGGCATTTTCAGCTTTCATTTTCATTAATTGTTCCCTTTGTTTTCTATTGGTTCATTTTTATATTCTGTTTGTAATCTTTTTTGATATTTCTTTGCTTACTTTCATTCTTTCAAAATCAGGTCACAAAATATCTAGTTTTGAATTAACTAAAGTTTTGCTTTCGGTCACATTAAGGAACCCACATTCACATAATAACCCTCAAATTCTTACCACTGAAGGTTTCCTTAAAAGTAGCTGCTCTACTGGGTCTGGGTGCGGGGCGGGGGAGCAGAGTTTTGCTTCTAAGGAACACAGTCCCACTATATAGTCCAGGCTGGCTTTGAATTTCGGAACCTCCCGCCTCAGCTTCCAAGTGCTGGGATTGCAGGTGTGTGCCACCATGCTTGGCTTTGTGTTTCATTCTTTAAAAATATAATTTCCAATGTAACACTTCACTGCTGAAACTTCAAGGCTTCTGACTGGCTGATCTTCCCCTTAGGATACTCATCTCCCCATGGAATTTGTGGATTACAAGAGTGGGAGCACAGTCTCCTAAGCCGACTGCTATGCTGACTTAAATGAAAAAAGACTAAGACAGGAAACATACTATTCTGGATTTTGAAGGATGGATATGCCTTAGAAAGGAACTGAAACCAGGAAGTTGGGATTATGTGACGATAGCTATATTCTACAACTCAGTATGCAAAAGCAAGCGCAAAAGATTAAGAAAGAAAGCAATTAAACTTGGCGGCTTCAAATGGGACCTGCAGCAGGTCCTGTGTGCAGAAGAGGACGCTCGCCCAGGGCTGGGGGCCCAGGGCCCCTGAGCACATCCCCAGTGCGGGCTCGGCTCCTTCCCCCAACCCCGAAGGCTCTTTGGAGACAGTGGTCCTCAAGGTGAGTCCCACGCCCGGACTGAAGCAACAAGAACGCACGTGGGAGAAGAACGAGGGGTTTTAAAAAAGGTGCCAAAGGTAAGTCAAAGTCATCAATAACCACCATAAAAATAAGACCATTAATTTTTGTACTTAATTATCTGAGCCAAGCACGGTGGTGCTCACCTGTAATCCTACCTTGTCAGAAGGCTGAGATAGGAGGATCGTGAGTTCAGGACCAGCCCGAACAATGTAAGAAACTCCTTCTTAAAAACAAAAACAAGTATGTTTGTTTTTTCTTTCGCTCATACTGAGTGAAAGAAAAGTCTAAAGTGATGTATTAGTGTGCTCTGGCTGCCATAACAAAATATCACAGACTGAGCACTTAAACAACCAAAATTATTTATCACTATTCTAAAGACTAGGAGGGCCAATAGCAAGGTATGTTTCATTCTAAGGCTTCTCTGCTTGCTGGTAGCTGTCACTTCACTCAGGACTGGGACGGAGGTGTTGGAGGAACAGAACTCAGTCTCTCACTTTTGTTTTTTTTTTGTTTTTTTTTTTTGTTTTTTTTGGTTTTTCTCCAGTACCGGGAACCGAACTCATGACCTTGCGCTTGCCAGGCAGGCGCTTTTGCCGCTAAGCTAAATCCCCAGCCCCAGTCTCTCACTTTTGTAAGGATACTAATTCCATCACTGGAGCCTGGCCCTCATGAATACAGTTAGATTAAGTCAGAGGCCAAAGAAGTTGACAGAAGTGTGTGTGTGTGTGTGTGTATGTGTGTGTGTGTGTGTGTAAGCACATGTCCTTGTGTGAATGTGTCAGGGTATGTAAAAGAATGGAAAAAGACATACAAGGTGGATGTTGAGCTGAAAGCAAATATCAATACCAGACCAAGCAGGACTTCAGGTAGACCAAGGTGGGGCCACAGGAAACCAATTCCAGCTACTCTAGGGTGGAATAGGTCTCACAGTCTCAAAGATCAAAAAAAGATAACTTGTGCATTTAGAAAGTCCACATGGCATCTCTGTGGCATACGTGCCTGTGGAAAATGCTGGGGGAAACAACCCTAACCCAGCAACAAATTTTAGGTTCTCCCTTTTACGCATGGCAAGCTTGAGGCTCAAAGAAGGAAGGCAGCGTGTTCCAGGTGCGCAGCTAGTGGGAATGACCAGCCACGGGGCTTTCAGACGGCATTAGCAATCAGCGCCAGGGAGTCACACAGGTCAGCCTCCCGCTAAAGTCTATGAAACGATGGACTGCAGGAAAGAACAGGAGACCCACACACCCTGGCCAGCAGAGGGGCAGGACTGCCCGGGTCCAGCCTGCAGGCCCAGTCGCAGCAGTCAGAGGCTGCTGATCTCGCTGGTCCCAGCGCGCTTTGCAGCTGTGAGACCTGTTCCACCCTAGAGTAGCTGCAGCCCCTTAAAGATAGATCAGAAAGTAAATCACGGCCACACAGAGGTGTGGGTTTCTCCAGATGCTCCTCACACAGAAAACCTTGCACGATTCCTCGCCCGGGACACCACTTGAGTAGGAACCTCCACCAGGCTCAGCTCCTCCTGAGGGTCCCTGGCTCTCCCGGGTGCGGCTGGATGCAGTAGGCAGGATACTCAACCCATGCTGAGCGCAGATCTCAAGGTAGGTATTTTTTATGTCTTTTTCTTTACATCACAGAGCTTAGAGTTGGATTTTAGACAGAACTCCACACGGGCTCCGCAGGCATGGACCCAGTCTCTTACTTTTGTAAGAAGAATACTAATTCCAGCAGGGGGCGGGGCGCGGGGCGGCTCACGGGGGCCTGGACGTGCTGCGAGGTCCGGACTGCAACAGCACCACGAGTTAAAACTACCCAAGGAACTGTCCTGGGGCAGCTTAGCTGTGTCCTAACTTAGGAAATAGAGAATGAATTACCTGGAGGGAGAGACAGACCAGCGCAGACACGGGGACGGGTCTCGGTTGACCTTGTAGAAGGAACCCTAACCTAAAGGCCCCGCCAGTACAGCCAGGGCCACCGTGCAGCAGGCGCGGCCTGCACCAGGGACCCGCGAGCGGGCTGTGAGTGGTCGGCGGGAGTGTCACTCTTCCCAGGGCCCGCCCCTTTGCGGCAGCCCCGCGCTCTGGCGCCACCTGTAGGCCGTGTGCGGGATGACCTACGGCACCCCGTGGGCGGGCTCCACCAGGCTCTGAGCTGTGAAATACGAAGCTCCGCGGGAACCTTATAAATGTGGGCCGCCAGGGGGCGAAAACACACACCACCAGAGACAGCCATTTCAGGAGACCCTCAGGCTATTTTCTTCTTCTGCTGTGAGGTCTTCCTGTCAAGCCCTGCCCCTGTTACCTGTCACTGCCCTCACTCGGGCTTCCAGGCCGCGGCCAGCGCTGCTACCTCCCGAATCCCAGCCTCCGTCCTTCGCTTTCTTCTTTCTTTTCTTTGATCTATGTCCTTCCCTACTATGTTCAATCCTTTTTTGCTTCTTAAGCTTTCCAGGACACTTGCCATTTGCCATCAACGAGCAGAGCAAATCACGAGTCACAATTAGAACCATGAATGCACACACACACACACACACACACACACACACACGCACACACACACACCACGATCGACACCCACAGGGGCTCTTTCCGTAGGCTTCCCCAGTGGAGATGTTATCCCTCCGGCTGCCCAAGTCTGAAGCCAGGAGTCACTGCCGAGCCCTCTTTTTGCTCCTTTGTGGAACAGACCGCATGTAAGCAGATTCAACCATTTCTGACACCTCTCCACCCAGCCACCGAGCACTGCAGCCCTCTGGCCTCCTGAGACAGACCCCGAGGCGTCTTCTCCCTTCCACACGTGCTCAGGCAGCCTGAGATGTTTGTCCACGCAGCTGCCAGGGTGACTTTCCACAGTGCTGGAGTTTGATGCCACAGTACGGAAGCTGTAGTGTCCAAATATTGCTGGGTACAGTGAGTACGCTGTTCTGCCGTGCCTACACACACACCCAGAGAGCACAGCTATGCTACAAGGTGGTAAGTGTGTGCAAACCCTCCTCACTTACAGCGTGGTTTTTCTGGAGCTAAAGCTATCGTGGGACATACCAGGCAGTTTCCACAACACCATTCTCCATGGCCGCTTCTCTTTCATAGCCTGTGTGCATGTATTACAACATTTTACTTATGTTTATTGTTTAGTAGTCTGTGTTTGTAGAACACAAGGAGTGCATTTGCTTGTGGAGTTGGTACCTGTGCCTAACACATCTTAATCTTTCTTTCACCCCCTTCCTTCCCACCCCTCTTTGCTCCCTCCAATTCTGGGCCCCGTTTGCACTGCTAAAGTTCTCATTGCGGGGCTGGGGATTTAGCTCAGCGGCAAAAGCGCCTGCCTGGCAAGCGCAAGGTCGTGAGTTCGGTTCCCGGTACCGGAGAAAAACCAAAACAAAATAAAAAAAAATAAAGTTCTCATTGCATTTAAAAAAAAAAAAACTCCATCCAACTCTCCAGTGAAAAGAGGATCAGCAAGGATTCTCTATTCTGCACCGATGTACATGTGAGCGAGATGGGGTGCCAATTTAAGACAGGCCCCCCAACCCCAGCCATGGACCAGTACCAGCGCAGAGTCTGTTAGGATCCTGGCCACACAGCAGGTGCTGGGCCAGCTTCTCACAGGAGATAAGCCTGCTGTGAACTCCACACTGGCGGAATCCAGGGTAAATCACCCCCAAACCAAACTCTGCCCCACACCCTTGTGCCCCTTGATGTAAAAATTGTCTTCTAGGAAGTCAGTCCCTGCTGCCAGAGAGGCTGTGGGCCTCCAGTTTAAGGAATAGCACTAATTTGAGAACGCTCTTTTCCCTCCTTTCATTTTAACTTTTCTATATATTTTCACAATTATACACTTTAACCTCTGCAGAGGCGTGGAGCGCGTGGAATGCCAGCAGGGAGCTTCGCTCCTCTATGGAGAGCTCACATTGGTTAGGAAAAGCGCTCACCAGCTGTCACAAACATCCCCTCCATGAGTTACAGAAGATTTCTCACCTCCGGGGTCACCTTAATCAACTGTGCATGTTCCTCCTGCCTCTGACCCACCCCTCAAAACACACACCTGATACTGAGGGGATCCGCCCTTTGTGGGTCCTGGAACCCTAAAGCCTTTCCCAAGCCCCACGTATGTCCACCTTCACGCAGGGATGAGCCCTCCAGCCTCCATGGACGGGCAGAGCTCTGCACCCTGTGTGCCCAGGGCAGCTCCCACTGCACATCCAGGCCTATGCTGGAGCTGCTGCTGTGGGCTCTGAGTCTGGAGACTCTGCAGCGACCTCGTCCCTTTGCCTCAGGCCACGCCAAGTTCAGGGAGCCCAGGGATGGCGAGCCCCGAGCCCTGAGCCTAGCAAGCGAGCACTGTGCAGGTGTGCACACTGCCACCTGGACCTGAGCCCTGCGTGCCAGGTGCCTGGATCCCAGCTCTGCTCCTCTCTTCCCACCTCAGAGACTTCAGGAGTGAGGAAGAGACCGATCTGCCCCGCGGGGAGGTGGACCTGAGCTGGCTCAGCAGGACAAACAGGCTGATGGGCTCGCACTGCCCCCGCCAAGGGTGACTCACCCGCTGGGTGCCAGAGGCTCCACACCACCCTTTCTGCTGACAACTTCCCTGCCCCTGGAGGCCTAAGGCTTCCTGCTCCTGAGCAGTGTGGGTTCCGGCCCGTTCCCCGCAGCTCGGAATTCAGGTTGCTGGGGAGGGGAGCAGCATAGGGCCAGGGGCTGCGCCCTCCTTGAGGCCCCCGCCCTGGGACGCAGTGGAGTCCTTGGGGCGACACACAGAGCGCTTTTCCTACTGATGTGGCCAGAGCACGGAGCCCCGCAGCACAGGGCCCCGGAGGACCACGACAAGAAGGTGGCCGGCTGCCCCCTGGGCCCCCACCCCGCTGCAGCTTGTGCCCAGCAAAAACAAGAGCTGGATCTGAAGCGACTCCTGCATTTACCAGTGAGCAAAACGATCCCAGAGAGGGTACAGGCACGGGCAGAGAAGACCCTCTGAGCCCTGGGACGCTTCTTCCTGGGAGTGGGGGGTCAGCTCATTCTGCCCCGTAAGAACACAGCCACAGGCCTCCAGGAAGGTCTGAACACACACAGGTTCACAAGGGACCCTGCTCTGTGCGCTGGGAAGAGTGGACACCCCCACCCCACAAGTAGCTCCTGGCGTCTTGGCCTCACCGTTCTCCTGGAGTGGGGCGTCTGTCACTATCCTCAGCTGCAGGATGGCCAGTGCCCTGCAAACTATTGTTTCATGTGTGCTTGTTTGGTTCATTTTACACTGTGTTTTGGCCATAAATCCAAGGTACTAACATTTTAATACCTGACCACCACTTCTGTCATCTGATTTTTTTTTTTTTTTTTACCACCACTTCTGTCATCTGATTTTTTTTTTTTTTTTTGCATCTGTTTCTATTCATCATTGTTTCTTTTTATTTTATTTCTCTCCACTGAGACAGAGTCTCTCACCAAGCAGCCCAGGCTGGCCTTGTAGCCTCCTGCCTCAGCCTCTCAAGTCCTGGGATTACAGGTGTGGTCCACCGAGCTGCTGCCCACTGACTCGCCCTCTCACCCTTTCTGTGGTGCTGGGGATCAAATCCTGGGGCTGCGTGTCACAGAGCCTCAGACCCTCAATGTTACATTCTTCAGTGCTAGAAATTTTTGTATTCCTGTCAGTATTCTTGAACATTGCTCAAGTACATCGTTCTTTTACTTGGAAAACTGTTTTTTATTTGTTTGTCTTGATCCTGGGGATCAAACCCAGGACCTTCCCCTTGAGCTATAACCCCAGGATTTTTCTTGTTTTATTTTGAGTCAGCTCTCACTAAGTAGCCCAGGTTGGCCTCAAACTTGCCATCCTCCTGCCTCAGCCTCCCAGAATGCTGGCATTACAGTAGTTTTTAATCTAGGGCTTTATTATGCTTTGGATGCTACAGGGCCCCCAGAGGCCTCTGGGTTAGAGGTTTGCTCCCCAGGGGGAATCTTGGAGAGGAGACTGTGCGTCCCTGGGCAACGCAGCAATTTACCAAGAAACTGTCTCAATAAATACAGGACTAAAAATTTAAAAAAGAACAAGAGTGGAGATGTATTTCAGTGCAAAGGGTATGAGTTGAATTATCAATAGGGAAAAAGGAAGGCAGAAGGGCAAGGAGGGAAGAAGGAAAAGGGAGAAAGGGAAGGGTAGGAAGAGAAAGAGGGAGGAGGAGGGAAACAAGAAAAGAAAAAGATGAGAAGAATATTACGGTTTGTGTCTAGATAGTCCCCAAAGTCACAGGTGGGCTTTTTAGAGGTGGCCGGGTCTAGGATGCATAATTTTGCCTTACTTACTTTTCTTGTTGCTGAAACAAAATACCCAATACTAAAGTAAAACGGGGAGGGGCTGGGGATTTAGCTCAGCAGCACAGCGCCTGCCTGGCAAGTGCAAGGTCGTGAGTTCGATTCCCGGTACCGGAAAAAAAAAAGTAAAATGGAGAAAGGTTTACTTGGTTCACGCTATGTAGAGGTTTCAGCCCATAACTGGCTGCCTCCAAGGCAGGGTGGCAGACGGCGGAGGGCAACAGCTCATGGCAGAAGACAGGAGAACAACAGGAGAGAGGGAGACAAGCCTGTTGCTGTCCCCTATACTGTAACCAGTCTCCCGGGATTAAAGCGGTGCCAACTTCATCAGTGGACTGCTCCAGCAATCACCCACCCTTAATCCCGGCACCCTTAATCCCAGCACCGCACTACAAGTCAATCACACACTCTCGATTCAGCCACCTCCGAAAAAACCCTGTGAGCCCATGAGGCTTTCAGGAGACAAACCATAACAGCTGCTGCGATCAAGGACGTCGTGCTGGGATTGATTTCCTGTGTGATGCCGGGATCAAGGGTGGATGTGCTATGTGCTGTAAGGGATAGAATACAAGGGACAGGAAAAACTGTGGTCCTCGCTCCTCGCTTGCCGATTTTGCCGTCTTTTGCCTGCCGGGAACTGCTTCTCCTTTGCTCCTCTGCCACAACATCCTGCTTTTCTGTGTCACTTGATTATGGACTGAACCTCCGCACACTGTGAGCTAAAATAAACCTTTCCTGCTTTAACTCTGAGTGTTAGGTATTTTGTCTCAGCAATGAGAAAAGTAACGAAGACAAAGAGTAAGAGATTCGGCCCCATCATTAACTAGGAAATAAGTGCTTAAACTGCCAACATTAAAAGCTGGACATTGCACAATTTTAGTGAACATGTTAAGTAATGAAAGCCCTTATTTCCCACAGCTAGAAGTGGAAACCGATAGAATCATTCTATAATATAAACTGACAACACCTAAAATGGTTGAAGAAGCACATATCCTCAAGCTGAGCAACTGCAAGTGAACGCCTGAGAGACTCTTGCGCACATGCGGGAGGGACGTACTCTTGGACCTGAGCCAGTGCTTTGGGGAAGGAAATCCCAGGAACAACGCAATGCACATAAATGGTTAATTTCCTCAGATTTTACTGAACTATGAAAGTGAATGCAGGAGTTCATCAACTAGGACGGGCCTCAAAGCACTTTGGAAAAAATAATAAAGGGACATTCAACAGCAAAACAACATGTTGCTTTATATGTATAATATATATATATTATCCTATGTACTAATATATATTTTTCTATAAGTATTTAAAGAACTATAAGGCCATACTAATACTAAAAAAGTTCAGGATTAGTGCTTTTCAGCACAAATGATAGAGGGGCGTAAAACAAAGGAGGGCTCAGACCTGTAATCCCAGCTCTCTGGAGGCTGAGGCAGGAGAACCACAAGTTCCAGTTCTGCCTGGGCAATTTAGCAAGGCTCTGTTTAAATAAAATTATAAAGTAAAATAAAATAAAGGCCTGGAGTTGCAGCTTAGTGTGGAGGCCTGGGTTCAGCCTACAGCATGGGGGCGGGGAGGGGATACCAGAGGTTTCTTTTTATTTTTATGTTAATGCGAATTGGACTCAGGTCTTTAAGGGTGCTCTGCAGGCTCTCCCCCGAGTGACAGCCCCAGCCCTGGAGATTTCTAAGGCTGTGCGATGTGCTCCTTCTTAAGCTGGGGGCTACATAGGTGTTTTTATTACATAATTCAGGGAACGCAGGAGGAGGTGCATTTGTTGCTTTTTTTTTTTTTTAACATTATTTGAGTCAAATCGCAGAGCACACGTGGAGGAAGAAGCAGCGATTTCGTGCACTCCGCGTGCTTTGGGCGCACATGAGGGCCAGTTCCCCAGAATTTTCACCTGTATTGCACTCATCAGAACGCTGTGCAGACCTGTCGCTTCCCGTGCGTCCTATCCTTCTGTCACCTGTGTGAGAGGTGACAGGGTGGGACCTGGGTCCCTGCCTCCACCACAGCCCCGGATACGGGAACCCCTGCTCTGAAGGCGGCCCGCTGCTTTCTGCAGTCTCTGCTCCTCAGCTTTGAGGTGCGAATATTTAAAGTCCATCTCGCCTTCTTCATCTGGCCAGCAGAGGTCTGGAAAATCGCTTTTTCAGAGGCGGTTTGTTTTGCTGGCCCCTGCTGCTCCCTGGCTGTCCTGGTCCTGGCGTCCGGGGCGATGCTGCTCCCTGGAATGGGCCTGCTTCCCCGCGCCGTCCCTGCCGTCACCGCCCAGCCTCAGAGCCTCGCTAGCGGGGGTCTGGGCCGCCCCGGGGCTGCGTCACCCCCAGACCTCCTGCCCAGCCTTGCTACCCTGGGGCTGCAGCCTGGGACGGCCCCTCCGCCTCCCAGCCTCCCCTGCAGTCTTGCGGTCAGGATCCCAGCCACCTCAGCCGCACCCAGGCCAAAGCGTACGCTTCCTCCCTCCCTCTAACCTCCGAGGGGCCTGAGGCGTCCTGCAGACTTCAGCAACTTGAAAAGCAGAAGCACCCAGAAGCTGCGAGCCAACTTCCTGCTGCGCGAGCAGAGGCGCGGAGCGGCGGGAGGCGAGAGCGCGGGCAGAGCTGGGCCGGCTCCCTCCCAGGGCGGGCTCCCCGCCCACACCCCCGCTCCCGCCCCTGGGACCTGCGCGCGGTCCAGAGAGCGGACACCTGCGGCCGTGCGCACCCGCGACAGAGGCGCTCCTTGGTAAGGCACCCTTTGGTCCCGGGCGGGCTTGGAGTTTGGGAGAAATTTCACCCTGAAAACCCTAGGCTGGTGCCGGGCAGGTCGGAAACAGCCGGTCCACGAGGACGCTGTCCTTCCTGGAAATCTCCGGGCCACCCTGAAAGGAGGCGACGCCTTCGCAGTGATGGAGGCAGAGAATGTTCTCATTTTAGGGACTGAGGTCGGGAGGACCCAAGCTTAACTTTAGGAAAATGACTCCTAAGATCAACTTCCCTGGCCCTAAATTCTCTCCGCAGCAAATCTCCAGGGTTATTTCCCTGGGCACGTTCTCCCAGGATGAGATGGAGCAGGAGCTGTTTTCCCGCTCAGGTTCTGAGAAGGAAGCTGCCGGTGGGGCTCTAAGGGCGCAGGTGCTGCCCACCTGGCGGCCCGGAGAGCGCAGGTGTGATTTCAGGGCTGACTCGGGTCCTGCCTCCGCTGCGGGAGCCTGGGGGTGGGGGTGGGGGGGCGCCGAATCAGCTGCGATCCTCGCCTACCTCGGGAAAGCCCCGGCAGCAAAAGGGAAAGCGAAACCGGAGTGTGGACCCCGCCAAAGAGCAAAGCGCGGGAAGGCAGAGTCCTGGGGGTGGGGCGGGCGGCCGCAGTCCTCAGAGAACTTTCCTCGTCCACAAGCACCTGGGTAGTGCTTGACTCCAAGAGCAGTGTGGAGCAGCAACCTGGGGATGCTTGTTTCGCTGCAGTTTACCTCTCCCTGCCGTCTGCGCCCTAAATGGAGACCACAGTTTAGCATCAATGTGACACACTTTTTTGTGTGTTTTACCTAACTTCTTAAACTGTCATTTTTTTTTTATTTTAAACATAAAAGGAGGAAAACATTAACAGCAGACAACATTTTACAAAATAGCATAAGAACAGTACAGACAATAC